ATTTTTTCATTGATTCTTAGGGAGAGTAGAAGAGAGATAGAAACATCGGTGTGAAAGAAACACATCGAGCCCTAACCAGTTTGGCTCAGTGGATAGAGCATCGGCCTGCGGACTGAAAGGTCCCAGGTTCGATTCCGGTCAAGGGCATGTACCTTGGTTGTGGGCATATCCCCAGTGGGGGTTGAACTCTCTATCCCTCTCCCTTCCTCTCTGTAAAAAAATCAATAAAATATTAAAAAAAAAAAAAAAGAAACACATCGATTGGTTGCCTCTTGTGTGAGCCCCAACCAGGGCCCGGGCTAGGGAGGAGCCTGCAACCAAGGTATGAGTCCTTTACTGTAATCAAACCCGGGACCCTTTGGTCTGCAGGCTGACGCTCGATCCACTGAGCCAAACAGCTCGGGCTGTATTTTTCTTCTTTAAAATACATTTTTCAATTGGTTTCAGAGAGGAAGGGAAAGGGAGCTAGAGATGGCAACCTCAGTGATGAGAGAGAATCATTGATTGGCTGCCTCCTGCACGCCCCCTACTGGGGATCGAGCCCGCTACCTAGGCATATGCCCTGAACTGGAATCGAACCCTGACCACCTGGCTCATAGGTCAAAGATCAACCACTGAACCCCGCTAGCCAGGTTTTTTATGTCTTTTGACTGGAGAATTTGTTTTAGGACCTACTATTGCCGCTTCTTCATTGGTTTTTTAACTCTTTTGCACCCGTTTGTTTGTCTTACTGCCTTGTGGTCTTTCTTGTGTGATTTGGTCATTTTGTATAGTGGTTTGACTCCTATCTCTTTTGTATATTTATCACACAGGTTTTTGCTTGTGGTTTCCAAGAGACTTAAGACAAAAGAACGCTTATTTTATCCTGGTAACACCTTCAGTTGAATACAAAAATGCTACCCTTTGACTCTCCACCAAACTCCTTTATAGGTTTCTGATGTCTCCATTCACAGGTTTTCATATTGTGTATCTATTAAGGTACACAATGTTATCTTCATTATTTTTTAAAATATAGATTTTATTGATTTTTTATAGAGAGGAAGGGAGAGGGATAGAGAGTCAGAAACATCGATGAGAGCCCTAACTGGTTTGGCTCAGTGGATAGAGCATCCACCTGCGGACTCAAGGGTCCCAGGTTCGATTTTGGTCAAGGGCTTATACCTTGGTTGCGGGCACATCCCCAGTAGGGAGTGTGCAGGAGGCAGCTCGGCTCCGGGTTCCTGATACCTCTTCCCTGAAGGCCAGGGCTTCAGCATATTCCCTGGCGTGGTGGCAATAGGTGGTGGGGGGAAGAAACCTGCTCACATGCGGCGGGGGGGGGGGGGCGGT